GCTACACAGACTTGTATTAGAGGCTCTTGGCTCGTGACACTAGATCGGTGGGATCTATAGTGATATTTTATGGATTTTTCCGTACTGTTTATCTATTACTACAGAGTTATACTCATGTTAATCTGGCATTAAATCCTATTAATTGGTAATGAATTCTACATAAGGGATTGTGAGTGACGAATTGGTCGGGCTTGCCTAGCATCGTGTTGGGCGCCATCACGACCGGGGATTGGGGTCGTGACAAAAATGCAATAACATACGTTCTTTTATAGGACTTAGCAAAACTCTCTACACATTTTTACTGTTTAAAGAGTGATGAATTAAAAAAAATGGCTAGAGAGTAGATCCATCAACTATTCTACAACAGCGTAAAAGAAATCAAACAAAGGCAAAGAAAATATAAATCAGACGAGTTGAAAGATATACCAAACTGGGACTCAGGAATAAAGTCTATAGAAGATTAAGTATTCAAAAAGATAAATCCAAATTATATGAAAGGAAACATATTTAGTACATTGTAGTTTGCTACTCATAATCGCTAGAATACTTTGTGTCTTGCTAATAAAGATACTTGAAATAACTTAGTTTAAGTAGAAGTAGCATAATAGGTTTTAGGAATTAGTATTTTGAGTTTAATTACTTGTTGGCTTGTAATAGTTTTCATAATTTCAAGGCCCAAAGAAAATTTAATACATTATTACTTTTAAACTTAATAAATAAATATATTTTCTACATGTAAAATTTATTCGGTACGGTTCGGTATTTTTTCGGTTTATTTTTATAAAATAAAAAATCTACCCTAATTATCGGTGCGGTTATAGATTTATATAAAAACCTACGGTTTCTTAAAAAGAAACCTAAAAATCGGTTCGGTTCGGTCGGTTTAGTCGGTTTTCAAATATCCATTGACACCCCTAGCTGTAGTGCAACGCCTAGGCGACGCGCGAAGGACCGGATAGCAAGTTACCCTAATGGACCTTCCCCTTAAAAAATTGAGTTAATATCGCATCGGCTGATGGCCTACATATCCGATATTAAATTGATAAGAACAGATACTACACTTGATCTTAGCCAAAAGGCCGAGAAAGGTTCTTAGAAAAGATTGAAAAAACACCTTGCCTTTTTTTTTTCTTGGAAGTAAACAAAAAAGATGCATTTTAATTAATGAATTTGTTAATCAATTAGTGTGATTAGTAAAACAGCTTCATCCGTCACCTCCCGCTGCGGCTTCGCCCAAGTCAATTTTTTTTAAATTGACAGAGAATTACTAACTTTTTTCGAAAGAAAGTACATTTTTTAATTAAAAATTAAAACTTTTTTGCTACTTTCAAGGCAGAGAATGACAAGATCTATTATTCAACAGCATAAAACGATTACAGGTGCCCATGATGTTTAACATAGAATTTCACCAATAATTCTCTTTAGATGTTGAAACCTGTATTTAACAGAAGTAACACGACTTTCTGTTTTCTTTTTCAACAGGATCAAAAGTCAAATTTTGCGCTGTTTCGATCAATTTAACATAGCATTTTTGTTTGATCATATTATTTATTATTTATATAAATATATATATTGTCGGCAGTGTGCACACAAATTTGTGAGAAATTGACGACTTCCTGGTTTATGGGACACTTGAAGAACAGGATTGTTATAAAGTTTGAGTTTTATAATGCATAAATATTGTAGACTATTGTTGATGCAATTCATATAAATAATACGTGATGCATAATGCTTTTATATATTGTAGCGATGTACCGCAATATACCGTGGCAACACCAAAAATTTCATCTAGGGTGTTCAACTTTGAACGAAGTAAATAGAAACTCTGATAAAGGGTGTTCAATATATGCTATATACCACTAAAATCTAATATTTTTCTTATATATACCGTGTAATTTTTTGATAAAGGGTGGTCAGTTGACCACCCTTGCAACTACGTAGCTACGCCCCTTGCAACATGCATGGGATTTTCTCCGTCGTGTTAGAGTCAGGGCTGGCCAGAGAGTAAAGCGACTAAAGCAAAGGCTTTAGGTCCAAACTTTTGGGGGGCCCTAATTTTATTTTATTTATTAGTTTTTCATCCGATATTTGGTATTTATATTGAGGCTTCGACTAATTTGAATTTGTCTCGGATAAGGCCTATTAAAAGAGAAAATGCTTCCTGCCAAGATTTTGTTTTCTTTTCTATGGCTCGAATCCAAGATCTTTTGTTAAAAGATTTGATGGTGAGGCCCAATTTTTACCAATGAAAAATCTATGTTAAAATAGCACGGTCTAGCCAATTTTCGGATTTGGCATTCAAAAATAGACAGTGTTTGCCAAGTTATTGAAAATAGCCACTATTTTGCTGCAATAGAGACTGGTCCGGCATAATATACTGGAGTTCGGTGCACCTGTTTATGTACTTCCAGCATATTATGCTGGATCGGTATACTTTGCTAGCTCTAGTATACTATTTGGAGACTGGAGCACCGGTGCTCCAAACTCCAGTATATAATGCTGGACCGGTATATTATACTGGAACTCCAGTATATTAGACTGGAGTTCTAGTATAATATACTGGAGTTCCAGTATATTATGCTGGAATATTTTTTCGGATTTTAAACAGTGTTTTTGTTCAAATTTATCTTTATATGAAAAGTGCCTAAATTTTGATTACTTTTGAAACTGTGGCTATTTTTGAATGACCACTTGTAAATCTGTCTATTTTTTAATTTCTCCCTAAATCTATAGGTTAATTTTTTTTAAAATAATACTATATTTCATAGTAAAAAAATTTGTATTGAGGCCTCGACTAATTTGAATTTGTCTCGCATAAGGCCTATTAAAAGGGAAAATGCTTCCGACCAACACTACAAGAAAAAAGGTCTATAACGAAGGTATATTCGATTTTTAAAAGACTAAATTCGGTCGTTATTAATCAATTACGACAAAAAAAGAAAATGTTTGTTCCCTGCTGTTACCAAATGGTACTCATAATTTCAAATGTAGATACATAAAAAAATGTCAGTACTCATATAAACATCATTGTTAATTACAAAGAACTAAAAGATCACATTACAAAATAAATCCATTCAATATGCATGACTTGTTTTTTGCAACTCCTAAGAAAAGAGAAAATTAAATTGTACTGTAGTTGAACAATCTTCTTGATAGTGTGATAGGAGCAACCAACTTCTACCATTGTCTACTAAGTAGGTGAAAATTTTCCATCATTTATAACTCTACATCTGCAGAATCAAAAACAAATAATTAGCTGACAAGAACTCCATCATAGATCCTGCAATTCAAATTAAGAACTTGCTTCAATGCTTACTAATGTTTTGTAGTCTTACTGATGCGTATGTAAAACTGGTGTAAAAGAACATGTATAGAGCTAACTAATAGTTTAATTGAAATAAAAATTAATTCAAAAATCACATGTTCTGACCATTACTTAAAAAACATAATTTGAAGGAAGAAAAGTGATCATGAAAGACATAGAGTTTTCTCCAACTTCAATAATAATCAATATCCAATTGCAAGAATACCTAGCTTAGCATTCTTTTTTTTTTCTATTCTTCTATTATAAAATAACACCCTTAGCCGGTAACTGGTTTTGGCATCACTTTATCTCCCTCACCTTTCCTTACAAACATTAGACGCCTATTAGCTCCACTCGCACTTCTATTTTAGACTGGTGGATAACCAGATAAATTTTCTACAAAGTATTAACACATGGCAAAAAATTTCCATCAAATACAACCAATAAGTAAGCAGTAAAATGCTAAATTTTCTTCTCTCTAACTCAAAAAACTTAATACTGAAAAACAAACAGATTTTCAGATGTAGAAATAAGAAATATAAAGAAATAAATATGAAAATAAAATAGCAAAAAGGAAAATACAGAGATAACAATTTGTAGTTGGTGGCTGCAATAGGGATTGAACTGGAATAAGAAATACTTTAGACAGAGTAGGTTTTTCTTTTCTTCACAGATAAAAGAAAATTTGTAGCAACAAAAGGTACCGCTCCAATTTCTATTGTAGCTTATTCATCCAATCTCTTTACAACGACAACAACAACCCAGTGAAATCTCACAAGTAGGGTCTGGGGAGGGTAGTGTGTACACAGACCTTACCCCTACTCCGAAGGAGTAGAGAGGCTGTTTCCGATAGACCCTCGGTGTTCCTAATAGCAAATTAAGTCAAAAACCAGTATCTAGAACATGTTAGCATAAAAATAAATGTTTTGGGAAAAATGTCAACAGATACTAGATATATAAGTAGAACAAAAGTATATAAATGAATGTACTTGTATATGCATAAAATTTACATAGGTCATAAAGTCATGAAAAACAGCAAACAAGAATTGCTATAAAGTAGCAAAATCTTCAAAGAGAGAGGGAAAAATATACCTTGAATTGGATGATACGGTCCTCTTTGGTTGGTACGCTCTCACCATTTCTGAATCTGAAGAGGACTCAGACATATTGCCATTGTCATTAGCTTCTTTTGACTTCTCTTTGCTATTTTCTTTTTGTGGAGCTCTGACTGTAGATTCAAGTGCCTCTGATCCATTTAGTTCAGATGATATTAATCCTGAAGAGGCTAGGACTGGTGAAGAAACAGCAGTCATAGCACCAACATCCATTAACTTCTTTTTTACAAGATCCAATGCAGAAGATCCTGGAACAACTAAAGATCTTAGAGTTGTTTCATCACGACCATCACGACCACCTGTATTAATAGCATGAATACTCAAACTAATAGGAGAAGATCATGTTTCAGTTAATGCATTAGCATTTGACATTAATGTCGATTGAGCCTGCAAAGCATCAGCATCATGCTTCTTTTTCAACTCTGTCACGTCATTACTCCAAGTAATAGAATTAAGAATAACGTCTTCAGAAATATTTTATTTCATAAGACAACTTCACAATACAATCACAACTAAATATTGCAAAGTGGTTGTCACAAAGCGCATTAAATAAGAAGGTTTGCACTTCTTAAACAGGTCTAGAAGAACGAGCCATATCCTTTTTGTTTACTGCAATAGCAAAGGTAACATATGCTCATATCTTTCTTCATCAGCTCTATGCCTTTATATTTCTCACTAACATAACATATCTATAAAGAATATATACATAATTAATCGTATGCAAACTGTTTTATGGTGAAAGCATAAAACAAAAGCACAATTATCAGGCTAACAGTGAAGTCAAAAGATGTAAAAGGATAGAAAGAGTATAACAAAGAAAAAAATAGCATATACAATAAGGTTATTAAGCAGGTTACTATGCTCATGTTTTGTAGCTTATATTTTGACATGAGGAGACTGAATATATCTTACAGGAATTTTGATGAACGAATTGCAGGAGATACCAAGAGCTTTTTCTCCTTTGACAACTGAATATTAGTGAATAGAGGTTGCCCAGAATTGAGCTATGGATCCACACATAAACAATAAGAAATGGATTATATCTTCTTGCTCAACTTTCTATTTTAACAGCAAAAGGATCAGTTAATGTAGTACTCTTTCTTGACATTGACTGGACAACCATTCAGGTATGATATTGGAAATGCCAGTAACTCTTCTGCCGCTGAACAAACAAAATATATAGGAACCTACACAGGACAAGAACACCCAGTTTAAATACATAAAAACATATTTCAGTTGAAGAAAATTTAGGTTTCTGCAGCTAACTGTACTAAAATTAGATATGAATGGTAGAAACACTTGAGAATTGGAAGATTCTTATCCATGTGTATTGATCAGGGACGGACTCAAAATATAACTTTCATAACAAATGGCAATAGTCCATGATTGTATATAATATCTTTTTTTATGAAGTAATTAGTTTCATTGATGGCATCAAGAAGATGCAGAATAGTTACAAAACTAGTGAAATTGTTAGCTCCAATACACGATTGTGTACAATATCTTGGAAACAAGAATCTCTCGATGTTCATTCCTTCCTACCATCAAAATTAAAATTAGTATAATTAAGAATCTATATCTCCAACAACATTTAAAGGGATGGGGGAAATTCTATTGATCTCTCATCACTGAAAGTATACTCAAGTTTCATACCAATCGAAAAAGAAATATACTCATGTTTCAGTAAATTCCTGGAAATCCTTGAATTTTCCGAGTAAATGAAGATTCAAATTCTAATAAATTATGAAGATGAAGAGCAGAGAAGAGAGAAAACCTTTGTTTGAACTTTGAAGTATTTGGTTAACAATATGAGTACTCATTGTATAGGAGTTTTGAACTATATGAAATAAAGGCAAGTTTCCTAACTATTGAGATTCTTTCATTGATTGTTTCCTAACACATGAAATTCATTCTTTGCTTGTTTCTTAATACTTGAGATTCTTAATTATGATTGTTTCCTAACACTTGAGATTCTTAATTATGAAACAATGATTAAGATAGCATACACTTGACTAATATAATTATTAAGAATATTCTATATTATCCTAAATGATTTTCTTCAACACGCTCCCAAAGTCAAAATAGAAAAACAACTGAAGTTTGTATATTTTGAAAACAAGAACATTCAAAAAGAATTACTAGAGTAGCAAATAATTGTCTGAATAGCCTATTGTGTAGCCGAATAATGAACAATCATCAGAAAGAATAAACGTGCTGAAAATCTTTCCACAGGTTGTTTACTTACTTGGGATCATAATACAGAGATTGCTATGAGATGAATCACAATACACCACAAAAAAGTAAACTTCAAATTAAATAAATTTTAACATTGTATATAATACCATTATGATTTAATATTCCTATATAATATTTTACTTTTATATACTAAAGCAAGTCGCCTTTCTTTAAAAATATTTTTTTTATTTTAGATGTTCATATCTAGGTAACGTGATGAATATATGTGCAGTTTTTACACCATACCTTCAAATTTGAAGATTCTAGCGAAAGTGATACATGTTTCAATAGCTTCACATGATTCCAGGCCGTCCAATAGAAATAAGGACTGATCCTCCGTTATTAATAGAGTCCAAAGCACATGAACATATAAAAGATACTTTTTCCATCTCTTCTGAGTACTCACCTAAATCAAGCCAGGACTCAGTTATTGTTTCCCAACAACTACCAGTATCACTGCATATGTTCCAAGTTTCAAAGATCATTACTTCCCCTTCCAGAAAAAATGCAAATGATACGGATGAAGATGAATAAAGAATGAATCAGAAGATGGATGGAGAACAAAAGAAGATAAGCTTTAAAAGCAAAAAAACGCATTAGCCATAAAATCTTATCTCACATATGCATGCGGACAACTTCAGTTATATGTATAATATTCCAGAATAATACAAAAGGAATGTACAGAACTGGCAGTAGCATGAGGGAAATCATTCTTTTCACTATCAACATTATTGCGGGCTGTGAAGTCTGAATATAATAGAACATCACTTTCTTCAAGAGATTTGTAATCAAAACTGGATGCAGTTGTTGATGCAAAAACGCATGAAGCGCATTAAACAAGAAGGTTTGCACTTCTTAAACAGATCTAGAGGAACGGGCCATATCCTTTTTATTTATTGCAATAGCAAAGGTAACATATGCTCATATCTTTCTCCATAAGCTCTATGCCTTTATATTGCTCACCACCATAACATATCTATAAAGAATATATATATAATTAATCGTATGCAAGCTGTTTTATGGTGAAAGCATAAAACAAAAGCGCGATTATCAAAATGAACACTTAATAAAATTATTATGTCCAATTTCAATACTACATTCCATTAAGTTTTCCTAACAGAAGATCCTTGAATTATAATCTTGTAAACTAACAAAATTTTTTGAGAATGGAAAATACTATCTAGTGTCAACAATACAATATACTAATACCACATCATTTTTTATCGCTTGTTAAGAGCCTATTAATTTTTGATTGACAATATTAAGCATATTATTACATAAATATTCATACTGTTAACGAATAATATTACCCCCAAATTTCGAAATAATTTTTTCCTTTCTCGAGATAAATATAGTGAACTTATAGGCGACACTACCAACAAGAACATCTTCGGTAAACCCAATAAGTTTAAACCAATAAAAGTTTTAATATCAAAAAAGATGAACAACAAATCAAATACTCCTGCAAACGGATCGGTGAAAGTAATTATATAATTGAAAAACATGTAATTCTAAGTAGAACACCAATATACTTGATAAAAACTATCACAAAGAGAGATAATTGGAACAATAATAATATCACAAATAGAGATAATCGGAGCAGTATAATAATAACAAATTCCACAACAAAAATAATTGAAAGTTTAAGATATTAGTAGAAACTTACCTTGATGAGAAGGAGAAACCCTAAGAGCACTTTAACAGAAGCAGCAGATCAGCTACAGGGGAGTCCAATCCATCTATGATTCTTCGTCAAGTGCTCTAAGCTCTATAACTGTAAGTTTTGTGATCACTACAGAACATGAGATTGTTTTTCTTTCATCTGGGAGGGGGGCGGGGGGCGAATTGGGGAAAACTACAATGGAGAGGATGTGAGGGTATTTTTCTTTTATTTAGCGGTTGGGGGTTTGGGCGCGTGGGTGGGCGCATGAAGGGTTGGGAAAAATAAGAGGGAAATCTTAGCGCCCTTTTTTATTAATTTGTTTAGTTTAACGATCGGATATTATGCTTCTTAAGGACTAGATCTTATCCCCTCGTTAATATCGAACTAAAATCAACTTTAACGACCGAAAATAAATGTGGTCACTAAAAGTTCACTTATAACAACTGGATTCACGCCCCTTCGTTAGGAAATGGTCGTTAAAAGCCATTTTTCTTGTAGCAAGATTTTTTTTTATTTCTATGGCTTGAATTCAAGATCTTTAGTTAAAGGATTTGGTGGTGAGGCCCAATTTTTACCAATGTTAAATTTATAGGTTAATTTTTCTTTTAAATAATATTATATTTCAAAGGTAAAAAGCTAAAAAGAATTATATAAAAGTGTTTAATAGTACTCTTCCGCTTTTATACAAAGGGTAGATAGCTGTAGAAAACAAAAGCGGAAGAGTACTATTAAACAAATTATATATTGTGCATTTTTATAATTTTTTATTTTTTTCGAAGTTTCAAGAATTGCAGGAAACATATTGATGCATCAAAAATTTATTTTGATAAAAAGTTATCAACCTCTTGAATAACATTCTATTACTTAAGATTAACAATGTCTCGGATGAGATCAAATAGCTTACAAAAATATATATTAGTAACTTTGCATCTTCAAAAGCTAGAAAAATAAAATTAAATAAAAGAATTATATGAATTTAGACCTCATATTAAACTTTACTTTATATACATAGCACTAATAGAGGAAAACACACAAAAGTATAATAATCTAACCTCAGTCAAATCATATAACGATATGCACAAATAGAGCATATGAAGTGATGCACTCTATCCAGAGCAGCTCAATAAGATTTTATATATACACACATATGATTGGGTAATTTGAAAGTAAAAAATATATGTGTTTATTGAAATAGTTGAAATATCTGAGTCGTTAATTTGTAGTCGCTTAACTTTTCATGAACTGTAGCATGGTATTTGAAAATTTTACTTTAAATTGCTTTGTTTGGGACAAAAGTTGCTACTAAAAAGTTAGTCATGGGACAAGCTGATCTCCATTACTACAAGTTTGTGTTTAAATTCAAATGCTTGTAGTCCAAAAAACAAAATTCTCAATTTATAATAGTTTCTCTTAAATTCTTCTTCAAAAGGGCATCAGACTACTTTTTGGCATAGGCTGAAGATAGGAAAGGACCCCCATTTCATTGGACATGATTTAATACCTAATCTATTGAACTGATATGGTTTGGATTTGTGTAACAAAAAAGACAACTCCTTGCATGTGCTATTGTTTCAATTTGCTTTGCAATCTCTCCAGGCCAGCAATATGGTCATAATAATTAGACAACCATAACATTCATATATATATATATATACACACATATATGTATGTATATATATATACTTATTATTATTGTTATGACACTCCAATAGAGTATTTCAATCATAAGCGTACATTAACTAACCAACTACCCTATATTATTGATAAATTTTGTTCAGTATACCTTTGACTGTTCATTTAACAGAATCAATTTTCTTCATTGCTATTGATATGATCCTAAGATGTAGGACCACTTGTTGCTACCTTCTCTATCAAAAACATATAAAATAACCTGGCCTAGATATCTTATACGACGGAATCTACTCCATAGAAGGTTACATGTTATTTTGCTCATAAAATAATTCGCATAAGATTCTGTAAGCCGAATAGAGATCGGGGGATCATAATATTTCTTTCTTCCGTTATTTTATTGCAGGGGCATATTTTATTCATCTATTTCAAGATTAATGTGAAATAAGTAGAAATCTATCTATAATTCTATACAATATTAATTATTTTAATCTATATCTATATCTATCTATCAATATTTATATCTATAGCTATATTATTATAAAATCACGAATGTTTCACGCTAAATGTTGAACGACAAAAATATCCTTAAAATATTAATCGACTTTTATGCCCTTAAATAACAAAAATAGTAGTTTAATAAAGGAAGTTAAACATGGATGTAATTGTAATATTCAAACTAATTGTAATATGAGTCAAATAGGCATTAATCATAACCGACAGTAAACTCCTTCAAAATAGCTCAAGTTCTAATTGTAATATGAATAAGTATCGCTCTAAAGTATTGTGCGAAATAGCTGGCTCATACACCTAACCGATCGACTTGCGAACTAGCTTCTATAAATATCTTGAGTTATAGAATTTCAAATATTATTGTTTTTTTATCAATGATGATTGCTTTATAAAGATTCTTTCTCTTGTATCATAAAAATAATTAATTAAAGATTTATGTGCAGCGAACGTACATAGAAACTAATTATTATAAAAGCACGATATTTTATTTTAAATATTGAACAACTAAAATATCCCTGAAACTTTGATCGACTTATACGCCCTTAAATATTTGTATAATTTAAGGATATAATTGTAATTACCAATGGTTAGACTTCTTTTCGGACTTAAATAGCGCATACGTATACCCTGCAAAGTTTACAGTAGTTATTTCCATTAGGATTCATATTAGATAGGATTTATATTATTCAATCAAAGTTAAACTTTTCATTAGGACTCTTATAATTTTATACACTTAGAATTCATGTCAAGGGAAATCCGAGTATTTATAGGGTTATCGTGGACGAACGGTGCTGTATTCTAGGACGAAATTGAACGCTCTCTTTGTTTTCACTTTCAGCAATATAGCTTTCTTTTTCTAAACGAAGGTTGCGTTTGATTGGGTTGATTTCTCATTGGAAGAAAATACATATGAAGAATGGTACTATACGAACCTTCTCCATGTGATTTTAATTCACTTTTTGGTTTGTTTAGCTGCTTTCTTTTCTTTCTCAGTTTTCAATGCCTATCCTTTCTTCTCTCATGAAGATGATCTGTCTGGTTAAACTATATATAAAACTTGATTCTTGACCAATAATATTTTTTATAATTATTACTATTTTAATTTTATTTTTCGCATATTTACATCTTCATCTTTTCTTATTTTCAAAATTGGAATAAGATGAAGATCTTCGTCCACAAGATTGTTAGACATAAATTAAAAGAAGAGAAGCATTTATTTCTAATGGAGAACTAACATTTGTTGTTTTCCTCTCTTCTATTAGTTTGAAACAAGACACACACATATTATGATGCTCCTGCAATGTTTTTTAGCTTAATTTTTCCTCTAAAATTTAATGTACGTACTATTCAATTAGCTTAATTATATTCTCATACACAATATTATAATGAATATTGAACTTAATTATTTTTAGTATTACTTAATTTATGCCCAACTATTTGATGTGTAGAAAATTAGTCATGCCAGGAATGTTCTTTGTTGTTTATTACACATTATAATTCCCTCTAAAATAGTGCCAAAAACATGCAACTCCGTGTAGGTAACAAATTCACAAGAGTTTGACAAGTTCTACAATTTCTCTTTTCATTATTCCTTTATTTGGGCATGTAATATTCTCGCATTGTGGTTTGGAATTTTGGGGGAGAGGTGATAGGAGTTGGCCGGAAGTTCAGTCTTTTCGGTCGTGCTTTTATTTTATATTAGGTTTTGATTTATTTCGTTTATAATTTTCAAACAGAACAGAGAGTAAGCAAATAATAACTGAAATGATAACAAATCAAAGAATGATTCAATATCATCATAAATTACATTGAAAATAGAATTTTTCCTAACTCACAAGTTTTACTTATTTTGGAAAACAATCAAACAAAACTAAAACCTATTTCATAGATATTTGTCGCTCTATTTATACGTGTGAAGCACGTGATATGGAGACTAGTATACTAAAAGCACGAAACTCTTTAGCGAAATGTCGTTCGCCTTTTTTACCCTTTAGAAATAAAGTTAATATTGGACAAAATTATAATTTAAGTTATATTCCTAATATTTTGTACTTCAAAATCAATTAAAATTTTGCTTATCAAAATATTCCTTATTTGAACTAGGTAAAAAAGTCCTAAATATCAGGTGTGAGCACCTAATTTTTGACAATATTAAATTTTTTATCACTTCTTCTATGTAAATACTTTAGAGGTTTTAACCTATAATTTTTAGCTTTGTTACACTTTTTATTATAGGGTAAAAATACAAAATTTTAAAAGGTGAATTATTATTATTATTACTATTATTTTATTTTTATTTTAAAATAATAAAAAAATTCCGAAAAATATTATTTTTTAAAAATTTTCAGGAGTGATTTAAAAATAAAAAAAGGGAAGTATTGAATAAAAAAATAAAATTAAAAGTAGGTGGAATTCTCTTTTAAAAAGTAAAAGAAAGTAGAAAATTTAAAAAATAAAAGTAAAGTTTTGTGGAAATTTTAAAAAAAATAAAAAGTAAAAGAAAGTTGGAATTAAAAATAAATATTAAGGTATATGAAAATTAAAAAAATTTAAAGTAAAAGAAAGTAGCATTTTTAAAAGAAAAGCAAAAGAAAGTGGATTGTTTTATTAAGAAAAGTTAAACAAGTGGAATTCTCTTTTAAAAAGTAAAAACAAGTGGGATTTTAAATAATATAAATGTAATTAAAGTTGGAATTTAAAAAATAAAAGTAAAGAAAGGTGTGATTACTTTTTATAAAAAAATAAAAGCAATTTGTAAGTGGGATTTCTTTTAATTAAAACATAATAAAACAATAAAATATTTTTAAAACAAATCTAAAAAATCTCGAAAATTTTGCTATAAATAGAAGTGAAAATTTGAGAAGAAAAAAAAAAGAAGAGAGGGGGAGGAGAGAAATTTAGGTTGAAAGTTTTCATTAAATTTTTCTTTCAACATTTCGGGCCTTGAATCTTGGGTTTAAAGAAGAGTTGATAGAGATTTTGTTGTTGCTGCTGTATTGACTCTACAATTTTCAGATTTTATTCAT